TTACCCTTATTATACATGTCTAAAGCGCCTCTCAGCACTTGCATGCTAACATGTCAGTGCTTAAGAAAACACAGAGATTGGAGGGCTCCGTATCTGGGCCTATTTTTAACCAAGACTGCTTAACAGAGACCCAGCGACATGTGTCAGGATTCACAATTCTATACAGTCAGCCAGCGTCTCTATCGCACTTGGGCTTGGGACCCCTTTTTGGCTGGTTCTCTTGGTCATTTGTGGCCTCATTTACCCAAAGATGTAGGGTGTAACCTGTTACAGATAACTGGGGCAGTCCCGCGTAAACGTACACATGGACACACAAAAACAGCCATCCATCAGCAGTAGCAGCTGGAGTCATGGAGGCCAGTCAAAACATCATGCCCATGTTTGACACGGCACCATCAGAGTCAACGGGAGCCTTGCCTCATTGGGCATGAGTTCAAGACGCATGCTTTGGGAATGGGAAACCATCTCTTGCTCTCACCTCCTTTATCTCTAACCTTCAGGAAACAAACCCCTATACTGTTCCTCCTTCCCATCTCCCCTCCCGAACACAGCTCTGTGCACGACCTCTGAGGGCACGGCTCTGCCACAATAGCAAATCTGTGACTGGCCCATGCCAGCTGTATCGGGTTCACAGAGCTCGGACGAAGAGACCAATCAATTGCAACGTAGATGTTTGGGTTCTACTTCAGGTGGGTAACTGCAATGTAGACGTACCCTAAGAGGCATTTCCCAGTATGCACTAGCATAGAGAGAGAAAGGAATAGTCCATCCAGGCCTGCCACATTCCATAATCCCTGCACGGTGGTGAAAACCATTGCATAAGAGAAGCGGGGACTGGAGGGTGGATGCTGAGATGGACAATATAGAGGAGGTAAAGAAGAAAATCAGATGCAGAGGTAGCAGAGCCAATAAGGAAAATGAGACGAGATAAAGGAGGCAGAAAAAATAGAAGAGTTAAGGGGACAGAAATGTGGAAAATATTGACGCTGTGATGTAAAGCCACTTAAAAGTCAAGTTTTCCCTTCATTTTTTTCCAAACCCTAAAATAGGCCCATTTAGAGTCGAAATTATGCTGTGGTGCATCGATTATTTTGAGTGGATTGGTTTTGTGCTAAATGGCCCTGTTCTCAAGTCTGAAAGGGCTTTTTTTAAATGGCCTAAACACTGAAAACAAACATTTGCTGACACTGCTCATGAAGAAAGGAAGAAAAAAAGGGAGACAAGTAAAATATGAGGCAGAAATCAGAGAAAGGAAAATCAAAAGAGCTGTCAAAACCAAAGGAGCTGAATTAACAACGTTTCCATCTTTAATGCGCAGTCCAAGCAATGGTTAACCCCTGGGAGAGAGGGACATGTTATCCTCATTTTAAAATGGAGAAACTGAGGAAGCAAAGGGTCACTGGCCACAGTGATAGTCACTGGCAGAGCCAGCATCTGAATTCATGAGACTTGGGCATGTCTTCACTATTCCCTCAATCAACAGGGCAGTGAAGTCGATTTATGGTGTCGAGTGTAGATGCGCTAAATCTACCACCAGTAACTACCAGTTACTCTCCCGTTGACCTCAGTACTATTGGCTACACTATTGCATCCCTACCTACAAAGCCAAAGGCCAGTATCTACAGAAGTGGGGAAATCAAACTCGTTGACTGCCCAGATGAGCTATACAGCCCACAGCTGTAACTCCCCCATGGTACCGAGAACTGGAAGACAGCATCATAGCTTTCTGGCTACTAGTCATCCTTTTCCTTCATTAGCATATTATCACTTTTGCTCACATGAATAGGTTTAAGAGCTTAATTGGTTTGGGCGCCAATCCATTTAAATGGAAAGTGAACACCGCTTACAGACCTATCGGGAGGCAGGAACAGTCTAGATATTATGCAGCTATAACCAAAACAACGATTATGAAAAAGAGACCCATCAGAGGACTATGGAAACAATCATTAGAGCACTTGATGTGTTGCTACAGCAGTGGTTCCCAAACTTTTCGGCATCACGCCCCCTTTTAGATTTTTGAAAAACCCTCCGACCCCCCCTCCTCCCCCCCAAAATAGCAACAAAACTTGTTGAGAGGAAAAAAAAAAAGGAAATGACCGGGGCAGCAAAACTTGATGTGGGGGAGGAGGGTGGGTTGCTTTACACCTCCCCCCCCCCGGAATTTCTTCACATACCCCCAGTTTGGGAACCCATGTGATACAGTGATGCATTTAAAGTGAAAAACATGTAATTTAGCTCCTGCACTGTACTCCTATAAGATCTGTACATCCTTCATGAACAGACACTTTAGGTTAAGGCATAATATCGTACAGGCCCATTCAAATTAAACATTCACACATGTAATTTACCTCAGACTGACATGCCTCATACATGCAGACACTTCAAAACATGAGTTTCTCTTTTCTGTTTAAGCAAAGGACAAAGGACCATTTGAAAAGGGAAGCTACAAAGGAAGGAAAAAGCATTGTTTCTGTCCGGGGGAGAGGGGACACAAAGTATAATCATACAAGGTAAACTGCTCATGGGTCTAACGCAACTCCCGTAATTCCTAGGACTCTCTCTCTTCTGCGCGCTCCTGGATTCCAGGAGAAAGAAGAATCAATTAGCCCTCCACAGACGGTGACCTTGAAGGGTTGAGCTCTAAAGAGAACATGCTGAGGTAGGTAGAACAGGGACGAGGAGCAAGGGATTCGAAAGTGTACTGACAGGTCTGATTCTGAAATAAATGTGTCAATCACAGAACAGGAGCCACGCCAACCCTTACTGAGCTCAGGTGAAAAATTATCAAGGCAAAGGGAAAAAACACGCACACGCGTTGTGTGAATAATTTACCGTGTCATGCCCAGAGTGGGCGAGATGCCAAAAGGCCAATCCAATTTACAGATGGGACTTCCTGAGCCACCAGTCCCAGAATTTTATACTTGATGCAAGTGCTCATGAATAACCCAGGTTTGGTGCCGTTTCCTGTCTATCCCTCTAACTTTTGCCTCTTTGAACTCTGAAATGGATATTTTGCCACCTGTCTTCCCACTCATATCTGCACAGGGATTCAAAGCACAGCAGCTGCCTGAAATGGCAGAACGTGTCGGGCTGGCACGGTGAGGCAGTAGTAAATTTTTTCCCATCCCGTGCAAACCAAACCAGCCCCTCCTTTACCTTCTACCAAGATCTATGTGCAAGGCAGATCCCTTAAAATGCGTAGTCAATATTTAGCTACAAAATTAATTCCTGGACAGCCATTTATCTCCCAGACACGAAGGGATCTGAACGCAGATAACGGCTTTTGTGGATGCGCAACAGCTAGTCCTTTTTCATCTACTCCAGAGTCTGAGGGATCAAGAGAAGGAAAACCACCTCGTCCCTGTTGAATTTTGCAGGTTGCTCTGTTTTGCAAATGCTGCTCCCAGTCCCTCCCCAAGCCGTGTCAGCTAGATGGTGTGAAAGGTGCAAAGATGCGGCGACTGCAGTGACAGCTGCCGTACCTTTAATGATGCTGACGAGATTTGCGGCGGACAAGGCGTTTCGGTGCTAATTACTACTGGGAGTAAATAACCCTTTGTCAGCATCACTGCCAACGTTGGTCTCAATGACTAAACCAAGCGTCTCCCAACTGATCTCAAAGTAGGCAAAGAAAGCGTCTATTTGTCTGCACACCACTGTTTTCTTATCAGTTATGCTCCAAAAAGTTACTCTTCATCCAACAGCTGGCCATGATGCACGACTGAAGCAAAAGGCCGCACAGGGCTGTACATAAAATCTCCTTTCGAAATCATTTCACTTGACGTTACGCTAATTGGACGTGGGTGCAGCTGCATTGAATGGCGGCAGATCTACATAAGTGCCTCACATATATCGCAATATAAACTATAACCCAGTTGACCCAAGAGGATGAGTGAAAGAGTGAATGCCACTCATAAGGTCTACACTGAGCCTGAGCTTCAAGCGGAGTTCCAGGGCAATGCTCACATGATTTCCATGACATCGGGGTGAGGCCCAGCATGTAGGAACCACCAAGCCCTCAGCCTGCAGTGGTTTAGGAATGGTACAAAGGAGGGAGGCTAGATGCTTACAACAATGTGTGCTGCCTGGATTAACCACTGGAGACCTCGCCTGTGGACACCAGACCTGTGCACAACGGCAGTCTGTCTTTTCCTTTCCAAGAATTACAGAGCTCACCTCTGATCTGCTCCCATCTGACAGGTTAAAACGACGTGTCACAGACATTACATTCCAGCAACAAATTACTTGGATGCTTTAGGATGAACCCAGAGAAAATTCTCCAGGAGTTTTGATTTTTAAAAAGGCAATTTGGGGTCCCCCGTCTATGCCTCCTTGTTCGCATATGAGCTCCTTAATTAAGTCATCCTCGCTAAGCCAGGGAGACAACATTAATGAGCAAGGTTTTGCAAAGTCAAACCTTAGAGAAGGGAGGGAGTGGGGAACCCACCAGTAAGAACCCTTGAATGAAAGAAAAAAGCCATAACTGTAATTGCTGTATTAACAACTCTGAAATATTGGCAGCTCGACAGACGGACTGTCGCCCTTCGCTGACTGCTTCAGGAAGACAGCAGGGGCATGTATCCGCAATGCAATACAGGAAAGAGGAAACAGAAATGCTTCGTAAGACAGGGCAATGAAATTAACAAATACAGGAGACTCAAAGCAACATAATCAAATCAAGCTAATCCCTGAAACGGCCGGCCTGATTATGAGGAAAAGGTACCAGTCAACATGTAAATCAATTCATTTCTTCTTTTCGATAATGAAGGACCTTGCAAAGACTTGCCTCTTGATAACTGGCCAGGATCTACTTCTGTAAAAATATCCTGTCTGGTACAACCACCTGTCTATTTAGCAACCCTTTCAGAGACCTCGTGATCCATCCCTGTGGCTCACTCAGCTTGTGCAAACTTTGCATGCAATGTCAGAGGCAAGGAAATGCTACAGAGCAATCAAAGTCTTCTGCAGAGGGTGGGGGGAGGGAATTAGAGGATACTTACAAAGTTTTGGAGCGGTTTGGAGGTTGGTTTCGACGGTTTGTGCCGGAGGCGCGGTGGTAGCCTCTCTCATCTCAGGCTCCAGAGTGGGTGGAGGGAAGGAGGGTGCGGCAGAGGACAACAATGGAAAATCTAAGACCCGGTTATGGGGGGAAGGGAAGAGGAAAGGCTCGGAGGGCACTAGCGAACTATCAGCTTGCACTGTCACTTCAAGCTTGGCTTCGGGGCTCGGCACCGGGAACGGCGAGGTACGCGCGGCCGAAGGCACCCAAGCAGACAGAGCAGTAGGCTCCACAGAGATCACGGGGTCTTGCCCGATTCTCCCCGGGTCAAGGTGGGTAGGAGAGTCATACTCGAAAATTTTATCTACAAACACCCACTTGAGACCAGCAATGCAGAGGCAGAGGCTGAGCAGGCAGGCCAGGATGGGGAGGATGCAGATTTTTTCAGAGTTGAGGCAGCCTCTCCATCGCTCTGCCTCCAAGCACACGCAGCAAGTAGCGGCGAGGCCTGCCATTCCCTGGACCCGCCTGTCCTCTGGGTGCATCCCTGGCATGCCGTCCTCCGTGGGGAGCCCGTCGAGAGACGCCGCCGGGCTCAGCGGAGCGGAGGAGTGGGGGAAAGTCTCGGCAGCTCCTTCAGACATATTCAGGCATAAAAATCAGAACCGGCTCACGCCCAAAAGGCCGGTCGGTTATGACAAGAAAAAAAAAATCAAATCCCCCAACTCCGGAAAGAAATCACACTGTGGGAGTCGGTCGAGTGTCCAAGTTGGAGAACCTCCTCTGGCCTGGGAGAGGATTAAAAAAAGAAACCCCTCTGTCCTATTAAACTAGCACGAAGAGCTGCTTAGTAACTATTTCACTCCCCTTCCCTGGCCACTTTTCCAATTCCTTCCGTGCCTCTCAAGCCATGCCAGCTCCTCCGAGGGCGGCGGCGGCGCAGCGCAGGGGGAATCCCGCCAGACAAAGAACACACCGGCGGCTTAAGTGAGCCAGCAGCCCAGGGCAAAAGGCTGGCTCCTCACCTTGAGCGTCGGAGGCTGGGGGCTGCTCGGAACAAGGAAACACCCGGCAGGCAGCAAGCGCGAAAGCAAAACCGGGACCAGCAGCAACGGCGGCGGCAGAGCGGACAGTGACAGTAGCAACAGCATCCTGTGGTGTGAGAGCGACGGCTGAAAGAGGCTGAATCATGCCCGAGCAGCAGGTGCCTGCTCTCCGAGCATCACTGCAAACAATATCATTACACAGAGGTTTGAAAGGCAGAGCAATGCCAGAAGGGTGGTAACTCCCTTCCACTCCCCCCCCCCCCTTTTGTCCTTCTTGAGCACTCGCTCACTTTGCTACTCCACCCCACCCCGCAGTCTCTCTGATCTACGGACACGCTCTCGGCTTTCTTTCCCCACCCCACCCCTCTGCAGGGCTGGCTGGAGCAAAATCAGTACACCCAGCAACACAGGACTGCTAGTGACTTCCTATTTTATCCAATTAGAAGGAATAAAGGCCATCAAATCAAAGAGGCAGGCAGGACTCGCTCACTTTGCTACTCCACCCCACCCCGCAGTCTCTCTGATCTACGGACACGCTCTCGGCTTTCTTTCCCCACCCCACCCCTCTGCAGGGCTGGCTGGAGCAAAATCAGTACACCCAGCAACACAGGACTGCTAGTGACTTCCTATTTTATCCAATTAGAAGGAATAAAGGCCATCAAATCAAAGAGGCAGGCAGGCAGGCAGCAGTTCTGTGCGTTCTCTCTCCTCCTTCCACTGTTTGGTCAGGGGGGGGGTAGGTGGCAGCTGATGGGTTGAACCCACTGCTCTGCAAGTCTGATATCCGAGCTCTCCCCAAGGAGCCAGGCTTTTCTGCTGCAGTTTCTTCCTGCCTGACGCCTAGAGATAGCATTCCTTTTCCATCACTCTAATAAGTTTAATGCACTAACAATGGGAGGGGGGGCGGGGAATGCATGTTTGAGAAAAGAACATTTCTTAGTAAAAAAAACCAACAACATTTTAATCTTTGACACATTTGCCGGCAAGTTTGTAAGGGGAGGGGGCCGGCGGCAGCTTTTTCAATTGTGTTTTGGAAAGAAAGGTAACACTCTGAAACGCGAGTCGGTCATTCGCGCCCACCCGCGTACCCCGAGCGAGCTTGGAACGGACACAGGGAACGCAATGTGGAGGTCCGGCCTGAAACGAACAAAGAGCACAGAAATCCATCATTGCTAAAGCTCCTTCTCGGTCCTTAACTTGGCCCATTGTTCCTCTGTGCTGCACAGATCTGTTCCATCCTCTTGTGCTGATTCATGCCTCTCAAATTATCATCAATCAGGGAGCTGCTTCGTTGACGTCAACAGAGTTCCAAGCGTGTGGTGGAGCTGAGACTCGGGCCCAAGGCGGGTTACAATACTCTGGGCTAATAGTCACACAGAGAGTGAGGAAAGGGGCTCTGATTTTCAGATCCCCTCCTCCACCCGGTGCCATCATCAGGTGAACTGGCAGACACTTATGCCCATTTTATACCCGTGTGAATGATGGCACAAGAAAACAAAGAATCAGTCCCTCTGAATAATTACAGATAACTCCCACTAAAATCTCCGTATACTGGTAAGTAGCCTCTGTACAAACCAGGTTTATCGACAGGGAGGTAGCTCTGCTTATCACCTGCTGTTTCGTGAGACTGACCATTACCCCCAGTAGCTTCTTTGGTACCACTGGGCCACATTTATTCCTGGTGAAAAAATCTACCGGTGTCAGAGGAATTACACCAGGAATGGCTTTGACCTATTATATTAAACGAAGCCAATAAGGGTCTGCACTTAGCTATGGTGTATCAAATACTTCCTCTTCAATGCAAACAAACTGAGCATTAAGTCTCAGAAATCAAGTTCTCACAAGCTCGATAATGCCAAAAAGTTACAGTCGAAGTTAATGGGAGTCCAAATGACTCAGCATCTTCCAGAAACAGCCCCTCGCCAAATATCTTGGTTTGACCAACTACAACGCTGGTTCTCAACCTATTTACCACTGTGGGCTGCATCTGCAGCAATCTCTGTGTTAATCGGACTACATCCACACAATATATATACTACTCGGGCGTCACATGGGCCGCAAGTGACAATAGAGAACAGTATTAATGGCTACCTTAAAAATAAGAACAGCTGACAGCAACATTCTTTATACAAATGTAAGCATAATATAGTACAATCCAAGGCTGCAATTTTTTTAAGGGGTTCCGGTCTTAGGGTTGATGATGGCATCAGAAATGGAGGCCTGAATAGCTGCCTTTGATGACATACTGGCTTATCTGGTTACCTGTGCATTAGCTAGCTGATAATACTTTGCATCAATGCTGCATCTAGCAAACAAGTATCACAAAATACATCATAGATCTCTATGAATCACACATTTTACTTTGCCACTGTAAGGACGGGCAGGATTATACCCATTCTACAGATGAGGATCATGACGTTTGAGTGTCATGTACACGTCTTCTAATGCCTCTTATCCCTGCGATTATTTTTTATGCGTCCTAACTTTTTATTTTTCAAATCTTGCTTTCTTCTTACTCTTAACTGTGACCCTTCCACATTCTGGGATCCCTCCAAATACATGTAACCTGTTACCATATTCCCTCCACTCATCACTGCCTTTAGGGAAAGCTACATATATTTTGTTTCCTGAATCAGCCCCTCCATTTCATTCATCATTTTGGTCACGCTTCTCTCAGTTGCCTCCTTTTGGTTGACATCACCCAGCGTGGAGATGAACAGATGTGAATGTGCCAGCAATGGGCTCGCAAGTGCCTGGTGATCAATTAATAACTAACGGCCAGTTCTACGGAGGGGACTGAAAGGCACAATCATCTCCCTCTATCATGCTGTGACATCTCTGCCTCTGCAGCCCAAGAGCCTGTTTTTCATTTACCCCCACAGCGCAGGCTGAAGATCGCAAGGGCCCTGCTGTGCTTGGAGCTCTAATTCAGTATACTGGACCTGGCTTTTTCTTTTCAGCCCTTCAACCGTGTTTTCAATCCACGTCACACGTCCACCCTCGATTGAAATTGTTCCTCAGGACGTCCTTTGGGAGACTCCGTCATGCACGTCAAGGAGAACAAGCCTTCTTATGCACGGCGGGTGAACCCCACTGCCCACATCAGCCGTGACGCTGCTGAAGAGGGGCACGACGCGGACACAACCACAAATGGCTCCCTCCTGCTCACTAGGCCACCTACCGGGGAACGGGGCACTGGCCTCTCTGCCCTCGTTCTCCGTCCCTGGTTGCAGGGTGGTGTGAGCGTGGGAGGGGCAGGCTGAGAGCCTAGCCAGGCAGGTGATACTCAGCATGCATCACAGCGCTGCTGCTGCTGAACTTGACTGCCAAAACCAGAGTGGCTTACCCGAGTGCCTCGTTTCAGTGACTCCTCCACATGCGCAGCCCGGCCGGTTGGCACTGTCTCAGCGCCTTGCTCGTCTCGACGCCTTCCTCAGCCTCAGCACAGACCTGGCTCCCCTCCAAGCTGCAGTAACCGCCTCGGTCGGTCCAGCCTTCTCCTCGCTCTGGACTGCGGGTCCCTGACACCTCCGCGCCACTAGATCTGGCTCACCGGTCTGCTCTGCATTAGCAGTGGCACCCCGTTCCTATCCCCCCTCAGACAGCTCTCGCTCCCCACTCCCCGGGACTCTCTTCCCACCCAGCCAGCTGGGCTGCTCCTCTCCTCACCCACTCAACCCTCCTGCCATCTGTCCCCTCCCCATGTTTAGCAAACCCCTCTGCCCTCTCTTGCCACAGGGTGGATGGGACTACACCCCTGTTGTGGACTTTCAGGTCTCCATTAACTCCTGTACCAGCAAGACTCTGCATCCTCGCCTCCTCTGCTTTTCTGGCCCAGCTCCAGGCACGGAACCGGGGCCGGGGCCCAGTCTGCAGGAGTGCTGTAATTTCTATCTTGGAGAAGCCATTAGTCTGGCCCTGCTCTGAAAAAGGAAGGTACTGGAAAAAGACTCGGAGAGGGGGCGCTGTGACTTGAAAAAACAATGAGTAGTCCTGTGGCACCTTAAGAGACTAACAAAAATATATATAGTGTCATGAGCTTTCGTGAGCATCTTGGTTTGCTTCACGAGGGAGAGGGGGGGAATTTGCTGCAGGTTAGTGCTTTCTACCTAACGGCTGGTTTTGCTAGCTACTGCAAGGGAAGGGTCTCTGGATTACAGTCTTTCTGTACAGGCGTAAGTAGGTTTGCTCCTGAAATCACTGTTAGTGCCTTTTCCCCCACGTGGCTTGAAAGGTTTGGCCATTCATCCCTGCGTCATTATGAGAGATGTAGATGTCATTCGACATGCGTGTTGTGCTGGGGGTCAAACCAAGAACTGGTAAATGGGAATGGAGACCCTGAAAGAGGAGGGGAAATGGATCTGGGAGACTTGTCTATAGCTGGCAGGTGCAGAAATTAGCCAAACTAACACACTGGTACCACCTAGCAAGAATAAGCTAGGCCAGGGTCCCCCGAGGTTAACTCCCTGGGTATAGCTTTACTTCAGAGCGGGCACGTGATTTGGATCTCTGAAAAAGGGCTTCCAGGTTCTATGTCAATGAACCTGCTTGGTGACAGTGACTGGGCTCCTGCCCTATAAGAAAGGACGGACTTGAACACAGAGGATGGCAAAGTATTTTTTTAATGGGGTGGGGCGTTTTGCCTGAACTGAACAAACCTGGGGGTGTGCAGAGTCGGGGTAAATCCATAGAATCAGAAACCTAGAGTTGGAAGGGACTTCAGGAGGTCACTGAGTCCAACCCCCCACCCAAAGCGGGACCAATCCCAACTAAATCATCCCAGCCAGGGCTTTGTCAAGCTGGGTCTCAAAAACCTCTAGGGATAGAGATTCCACCTGCTCCCTAGGGAACCCATCCCAGTGCTTCACCACCCTCCTAGGGAAATAGTTTCCCCTAATATCCAACCTAGACCTCCCCCACTGCAACTTGAGCCCATTTCTCCTCATTCTGCCATCTGACACTGCTGGGAACAGCCTCTTTCCATCCTCTTTGGAACCCCCTTCAGATAGTTGAAGGCTGCTCTCAAATCCCCCCTCACTCTTCTCTTCTGCAGACTAAACAAGCCCAAATCCCTCAGCCTCTCGTCATAAGTCACATGCTCCAGACCCCTCAGCATTTTTGCTCCCCTCTGCTGGACTCTCTCCAATGCGTCTACATCCTTTCTGTAATGGGGGGCAAGTTCCTTCCCTGTGCTAAGTTCACAAGAAGAGAGAAAGCATAATTATTCTCGGGACT